CTGTTCGCTTACTTCGAACACTTCGAATAACTCAAGTACACTGATGATTGTGTATCTTTAAACCTTGCAAATTATCAATTATCCTCTACAATTTATGAAGAAACTCATAGGCAAACATAAGAAACGAAAAGATAACAGTAACATGAGTAGAAATAATAATGACAACAAGAATAGAAAGGAGTTCACAGCCTCCATTATGTTACCCCATAACGAAGGTACATCAGAAACAAACTCATTCAGACATTAGCTTTGTAGACTTAAGGACCCGACAGATCAAATTAATCTACCAAATTTCATGTAATGACTGAGAGGTCAAGTAAATATGCGAAACTAGCCAGTCGGGGTCAATCAGATTAACGGCATATGGGAACTTAGTTAAATATAGAATGACAGATCCCAATAACATCAATAATCTAGATAAACGCTCAGCTATTACAATGCAGTGATTAACACACAACCACATAGTAAGGTGGATGGGATGAAACCACTGTACTCAAGTCCAGTATAAATAGGTAGACAGAAAGAGAGAGAGAGAGAGAGAAGAAGAAGAGATTGATTACTGAATCTTTGTTCATCGAATCAAAACCCATCTTACACATGTAATAGAAATGACGCAACACTTATACCAGAGATATGAAAAACTTCACTGACAATAGAAGCATAGAATATGAGGTGACAGGACTATAGAAATCAGATGTTGAAAGTGCTATGGGATTGCATTGGTATGATTATGAGTAGTAATCATTTATGCTTGAGACGTCATCATCAAGCAAATAATACTGTGTGTTATGCATTAAATAAACAAATCTAATATGGATGTATAATCTACAGTATTATTTTGTTCCACCCAATAAATCTTTGTATGATTTCTACTAAACATGAAATGTTTTACCAGAAAACACATAAGAAGAAAGAGTAAAACTCAACTATTCACATAACAACCAAAGTCTGTTCATCTAAATGTATTTCTAAAAAGATGAGTAGTATTCAATCAGCTCTCAATTCATCATTCATCAGAATGAAATCAAGAAACACCTTTATTATGTATTCACTGGTGCATAAATTACATATACTACAAATGAAACCAATTTAAGTGTAGGCTAAATTAGTTAACAAATACTTGTGTCCTAAATTATAACTTTTCAAAAAGGTTACAGTTTGTTTTCATATGGACACTAAAAGATTCAAGCTTACCTTGGAATTGAAGACTTCAGTTATCTGATAGTTGTTCATTTAAGAGATTTGTACAGAATTAGTTGATTTGAAAATAGTGGAGATGTTGTTTCGACCTAATTTTGAAATATTCATCAATACTTATTTATAACTCCATGTTGGATCCATTCCACGCATACCAGGCATCATCACTTGAACGTTTCACAACTATTATAATGTATAGGCGACCATTAATTTTCACAACCGTTTTCATTGGCTCAATAGGTTAGAGATTGGCCTTAGAAACGCGGAGATTCTTCTAGAGGCAATTCTCTATAAACAGAACACTTTTATGGAAACATCCTCATCCTTATCATGATGAGGCTAGTTTTCAAAAACAGTTCGCCCAAATCAACTACTTACTGATATACTATTTTTGTTAACTATTCATTTTAATTATCATTTGACTATCTGAGATGGCCGTAGTTTGGTAGACTGGTATTTTATACTGGGTGATGATTTAAGGTGAGATAAAAATCTAAACTATGGCCGGATTCGAACCAGCGACCGTCAGGTTCATATTCATCTTTTTGTACGCATAGCTGAAGGTATGATAACTACTGAAAATAAACATTCATCTCCTCCTTGTGATCAAAGAAAAAATAATGAATAATACTATCCATTAAACTACACAAACTCTTTGTCAATCTTCACTTCATCCATATATTCATTCTACTTGTCTTGGAAGCATTGCTCGCTTTTCGTGAACTCACTGTGTGAGCAATGCTGAAGTCAGGGAGACAGTACTAGTCAAGATAAGCAAGTCAATTGATGAAGCTGTGAACCTTTATCGTCTGAAGTGGCTTCGACATGTACTGTCCATGCTACGGTGAGCCCCCATTTACCTCGATGTACCATGTATGGAGAATTTGGATTTGGAGGGAGGAGGCTTCAAAGCGGCATCACTAGACGAAGGCTATGACTGCTGACCTGAGCGATGTGGAAAGAAGTAGAGTACCCGTCTGGAGTTCGAGAGAGAAAAATAATCAGTGGTTGAGGACTCTTGGTGACATAGTTGAAAATCGGTCACTCCTTGACATCTGAAGGTTGAACATTCACACCACCCTTTGTTCTCTCACATAACTTTTTCTCCTTTGATATCAGTCTTTTTCCATCCATCTGTTCTTTGTATACTATTTTGAAATGTGACAACTTGAGTTAATGCACCTAAATGGGAAGTTCTATGTTGATTTCATCAGTCAGTCAATCATCCTTTAGTACTACGAAACATTTATTTCAGCCTACTTTGACAGTTTAATGTCTGAACTATCATACTACTTTCATTACTTTTGATACTAATTAATGATGAAAGACAAAATGAAAAACTGTGGTAGCATTCAACTGAAAAGCCTCCAGCCTATCAGTGTAGTACTCTACCAGCTGACCAATGTAATCCAGCCCCTGAAAACATTTTCACGTCAAATCACTAACGTATTTTTCTGGTTACCATGTGCATCCGTGTTAATTAACCATCAACCTATGACAATCATAATGATTGACCTCATAAATCTTCAATATAAGTTCAAAACTTGGGCACTATTGTAGAATTTAATTCCATATTAGATTTGTTTATTTGATTGATAACAGTAAGTGACATAGTATTATTTACTTGATTACCACATTTCCAGCATAAATTACTTATTGCTCATAATCATATCAATGTGCAATCATACAGCACTTTCGACATCTGATTTCTATACTCTTATCACCTCATATTCTTTATTTTGATTGGCAGTAAAATTTCCCATATCTGCGTTATGAGTATTGGACCATTCCTATTACATATGTTGAGTAACGATTGATTTGATGAACAAAGATTCAGTAATCAATCTCTTCTTCTTCTCTCTGTGTTTATCAAGTTTCATATATGTTTGTAAGGGGAGGGGGGGGGAGTAATCGTGATATGTAGTTAACGATGATTGGACATATATCTAATTGGCTTCAAAAATAAATGATCCTAACAGATCCGTTAACTGCATATCTTCATCTGTTGCTATGCCTACACTAGAAACTAGTCACATAGCAGACATGAAAACAGCTTTTAATTTAGTAATACATAAAAATGTTCAGAGCTGAGTGTTTACATTTATTGCTGCTCTTGTCATTCATATATATATATATATATATATATATATATATATATATATATATATATATATATATATATATATATAAGTAGTATTCATCATGGACTGACATCAGTTGGGGAACCATTGAAAACCTGGGAGCACTGGACAGCTGTTTCGTTCTAGCATGGGACTCATCAGCAGTACGCACCCACGACCCGGCTAGGGTCGAACTCAGCACCTTCAGGTTCCACGGCGAACGCGTTAACCATTCAGCCACTGGGGCGTTTCCAGTGGTTCAAAATTTCCAACTTCTGTCAATTCATGACATAGCGCGACTATCACCCAAGGTCTTGAGTTAGCATCCACTTCACTTCCGAGTAGTTGACCCCACAGGTCACGGCTTCTCATTAGAACTTCCCAACATCCATCCGACCCAGTGGCTGAATGGTTAACGCGTTCGCCGTGGAACCTGAATTTCCTGAGTTCGACCCCTAACCGGGTCGTGGGTGAGTACTGCTGAGGAGTCCCATACTAGGAAGGAACAGCTGTCCAGTGCTCCAAGATTTTCAGTGGTTCCCCAACTGATGTCAGTCCATGATGAATACTCCCTCTAAATTAAAAATCCCATTCATCTTAAATATATATATATATATATATATATATATATATAATGGTTCTTCACTTCACTTAGTACACGTTAACAGATACATTTATTCTATCCAAGATTCCAACATGGGTCATTTTAGTTCCACTACAAGTGAAAAGAACTATGAATATACTTTCACTTCAGCATTTAGTGACTAGAGATACATAAATCTATGCATCAGTTTTTCAAACATTTGAGAACCTAGTAGAAATGTAAATGTTGATTAAATTTGTCGATTAGAAGATTCTTCTATTTATGAGGTGGTGAATGAGTTTCAATATAAGGTGTGATTTACGATATGATCCGAACTGAAGACTTGCCAACAACATACCAGTCGTTTCATTGACTAACCTGATCCAACCAGAATCGACTGACTTGCATGTTCTGAATAACCTCATACATGAATAATCTATATCAATAGGGTTATTCGAAACACAAGGTGGTATGACGGTAAGTGACAGCTAGCAGTGGAATGTACGGTTAACGTTTCATCCTATTTGGGACTCGTCAGCTGGATATACCTATTCTAAGACAAGTGATAACGCTCCCATTGAGATTGCAACCCAGTACACATTGCTTCAAACTCCAAAGTGTTCTTCACTGGGCTACTGAATCACAAGAGGCATTATTTTTGCGAAAGGTATCAGTTTTTATTGATCGGCATGTGTATTTTTGAGTTTTATTGTTATACTGTACAGGGTGGATTAGTCTCTGTTTTGATGAACAATGCTCTGGTGCTTGAAATAATTTTTGCTGGGTTCAGATTCTAGTGGGGTTACCATCACTCCCTAGGATCTAGGTACATCCGGCTGACGAGTCCGAAACAGGACGAAACGTGTGACCTAAATTCCACTGCTAGTTATCAAATATACTAGAAGAAAATAGAGGTAATTTAAAATTTCCAATTACTTCTCCTCTTCTCCTTTCACAATGGTAAATACTGCACAACACTTGACCATACTAAACTTCATTCAACAAATTTTTCTTGAGCACTTTTTTTCAGTTAGTTGAAAAATGCTTGTTCATGAAATTCAATCAATAAAACAATTTCTTCTTCTTCTGATTCATCGTAGAAAGAACAACTTTATATCACTGGTGGGCAGTTAGTGAACAGCGACCATATGCAATATGCAGATATACTGATCGAAAATGGTAAAATTGTGTAAGTGACTAACTGGTAAACATCAATGTATAATTATTGTTGAATAGTATTCTTATAAATAATATGGGTATATAGTTTAAGGTTTATGAGGATTTGATTTTTAAGGTAGCGGTCATTATGCACTGATATCAGCTGGGGTGCCGTTGAAAACCTAGATAGACTGGACAACTGTTTTTTCCTAGTGTGGAACTTCTCAGGGGTAGGTAGCCACAACCCCGCCAGGGATAGAAATCAGGACCCTAGCATCACTCAGCATATATGTTCATCATTCAACCGGTCAGGAGTGCAGTAGATGGCAGCTAAAGACCTTGGTAGATAATCGCGCTATATCGCTAGTTGACAAAAGTAAGAAACTATAAACCATTAAACTTTGACCCAATGGGATTCACCGGGAAACGTGAAGGTTGTTAGTTTAATCTCTAGTGGGGTCGTAGGTAAGTACTGCTGAAGATTCTTACACTAGGGCAAAAGAGCTTAGAAATATGAGCATATACTTTCAGTGGCTTTCATTTCTCTATTCTGAGGTGCTCACTGATAAAATTCTCATTACTATGCTAGTTAGCATTACTGGGAGGGATGGTCGGGGTAAATAAAAGCAATTTCTTTACAGAGGATTTAATTCTCTTGATTTTAAAGACAGAGACCTATTTTTGAGTTATGACATAATATGTATGAAAGTATGTGACATTCGTTTTCATCAGAATGACTGAATAGCAACATGTTTACCAACAGGCTTGGTGATCCTGGCCTAAGTTTCATACACAGTTAAGGATCCCATTGATGAGAAAGTCAGAGCTAAGTTAAAAACAGCTCTCCTCTATCTATTGGTTTTTGATGGTTCTAATAGAAATGACGGTGACACAGTTGTCTCAAGAAGTGAAATAAGAAAGCGATCATCATACACCTAGTGTAATAATGTTCGCTTGAAATTTAACATCTCCTGAAGATGATATTTCACTCTATGGATCCACAAGATTTACAATAGTATTTGTCTATCAAGAAATGTATGTCTGTTAAATCTTCGATGATCTCCACGTTCTTGTTATGTCATGAATAGAACATAGTTAGAGTTGAGAAGTAATACGTCGGTGATACAAATGACAAGTGACTAAATATGTAAGTCTACGGACAACGTGTAACCCATAGTCTTGGATGAAATAGTTATGACAGTTTCATGGGCTTAGTGTTCTTTCTTCACTTTAAATCCATTTATTCACGAAACAGCTTCCATAGAGTCATCATCAGGAATGATACAAACAGTAGCGCTCATCATCAACATCTACTATAGACATTTTTAGTCAACTTTAATATAAAAGTATTGCTGAATTTGATTCTGTTTACCTTCGGATTTCCGGGGAATAATCTTATGTCTAAATTACATCTAATAAATCTGGCTGCACTTGGTAGAAACCATAACAACTAGAGTTAACCGGTTTGAAGTAAAGAACTTCGATGATAATCGCTCTATATCACAAATTGACCTTCGACTTAGTAGACGAAACGTGAACGTTTTGAGTTCAATCCCTGGGGGAGGGAGGTTGTAGGTACATGCCGCTGAGGAGTACCATACTAGGACGAAACAGCTGTCTAATCCTCTGAGGTTTTCAATATCTCTCTAATTGATGTCAATCTGTGATAGAATTTTGAATATTTTATTCGAAATTCAATCAATGTCTTTCTGTAAACTGAATATTGAATAAGTCAACTTCTATTGTTAGTTCAACAGGGACAAATATAGAAGTACAGCCAAATGTACCAATAATTGATGCTACTGGAATGTTAATTATGCCGGGTGGAATTGATATGGCAACTTATCTAGCAAAAGATGTTCATTCATTGAATAAAGAAGCTTATTCAAATTTGACAAAAGAAGCATTAATTGGAGGGACAACAACAATTAGTGAGTTTAATTACTGATAATTTATAAATTTTCTAAACTTTTGATGATCAATTGGTTGATGAAATGATTCACTAGTTAACTGGTTTATTCAAAGTAGAAAGAAACCTGATATATAAGAAGTCTATGGAATGGTGGATAGTTGATATTTTGCAGATGACTGTTAATCAATGAGATGTTTTAGCGGTTAGGTGGTATCATTATCTTGGATGAAGGCGATCAACAAGAAGCCCTGTTTGACCTAGGTTTCGTATTTCTTGGCACTTGTCAGCAACATGTATCTCCAGCCTCACCCAATGAGCTATTTGAACCGCGAGTGACCTCCTGTAAGACTGGATTGGATACATTGATTGGTCACTGGGGAGTAACCAACTTCATGTTGCCTAGTCCTATGTGCTGATCGAATCCTTCACATCATTTCTCAATGTAGCCACCAGACTAGAGAGCTAAGCGTCACCGTCCACTCTGATAGATGTTAGTTGGATGGAGGTAATCGAGATGGAATCCCTAGATTTAGGTCTTGTGCTTTTTCGTGCTTTTATGTAATAAGTATAGCTGATTGCCTGGTGTATGGACCTACATGAAGTTTCGTAATTACATTAGCCCAATAATATATGCTGCCACCTACTGTCACCCATAATCTTCCTGATTGTGGTGGACTAAATTATGCAACAAACTGTGAGGAGCGAGAAGATGGGCATGCGCTGGCTGGACCGATGAAAAGACCCTGAAAGATCTGGATTTCACCGATAATTAATGTCTAATGTCGTACGAACTCGAAGATGTACAGATAAAAACCAACAAGTTGACAGAAGAGGCAGTGAGGACGGGAATTCAAGTGAACGTAAAGAAGATGAAGGCGATGAAGACACCTAACCGACAACAACAAGCACCAACCACCATGAAAGGGAAAAATCCAAAGGAAGTTACCTCCTTCACCAATCACCTAGACAGCATCCTCTCAACTATAGGCGGCACAGATGAAAACTCCAAAGCCAGGATCGGAAAGACAGGCCTCCCTTCATTCATATGAAATCAGTGTGGAGATCCACTCCACTGCACTCAGCATAAAGTGTGAATAAGATGCAAATTTTCAACACTAATCTCAGTCAAGTCACTGCTTCTATGTGATGGCTGAGAGAGATGGCGCGTTAGGAAAAGCATTTCCAACAAACTACAGAAATGCATCATCAATAGCTGCCACCCACGCTCACTGGATACTGAAGATCAGATGGCCAGAATAGAATAATAAGAATAAGTAACAAGGAACTGTGGCTGGCTAGCTAGCTAGCTGCCGACGAACCAACCAACAACCTATCAGCCAACGTGTATGCAGAAGCCGAAAGTGGAGATGGATTTGGCATACACTGAGAAGGCCGATTGAGGACATCACGCACCAGACTAGGCCATACCAAGTCAGGTCAGGTCAGGCCAGACAGTTGAGTGGAATCCAAATGGGAAACGAGGAGTTGGGTGAGTGAGTCGAAGGGACACGGAGGAGATGATGTGAGGAAGAGATGAAAGTTTGTGGGGATTGATGGGGTGAGGTTCAGAAAACTGAAAAGAAGAGAGTGCAATGGAGTGCAAAGTTGTGCTAGTGAAGAGGTATGTTCCACTAGGAACCCAAGGTATAAATAACAATGCAATATAATATAGAAAGTTAAATGAAATAGGATTATTCCTGAATTCCTTGGTAGCATAATCAATAATTCAGTGACTAACCGAGTTCGCATACAGTTTCAATTGTGACTTTTAATCCCAAAGGCTTGGAACCCCATTATCATTCGTATTTCCCACTTCAATGTATAGAAAGCTATCACAATTTCTCTGTGAGTGATTGGTTGCAGAGATTCTCCTATTGGTAGTTTCTTGACCTGAACTCTGACCTTGCAGTCTGATTGGTTGACAGATTCAACTCCGAATTACCTGTATTTAATCTACCCAAATATCATGAAGTTTTACTCCCAGTTGATGCCCAATCGCAGTCGTTCCAGATGACTTTGAAAAGTTATAAAAGTAAAGAATACCAGTGGATTCCTCAAAGGATATCAGGCAGCAATCAATAGGTGCACAGACACTTACATAATCCATCAGCCAATAAGAAGATAATAACCTAACAATCACGAAATTTCGTCATTAAAGTGAAGCTGCGGTTCTATCCCCACAGGCGTAATCGGGTTTATAAATACTCATAGATATAACTAAACTAGTTAGCTTATCCTTCGATTGGACTGGCATCATACAACAATCAGTAAATGCTACGAAAGGTGCTGCTGCAAGCAAAGTTCTACATGCTCATTCTCTAAGATTTAGTATTAATGATTCTACAACTGCATACAGATTCAATCTCTTCTTTGGTACCTTTCTTTACCAGTTTTCATTGGATCAGTCTTTACAAATCTTCCAGGATAATCATTCTCACTAAAAAATCTCTGTATCATTCTTATTTTATCATTCAAAGTATCAACTGTGCACTTATTCATGGTTTTAAACAGGAGATTATGGATTACATTCCTTTTGTAGATGAAAGAAACAAATAATTACAAATGGTTATACTGAAGAACCCATGGTTTCTTAAGGATAATATTGCGCGTATTACTACCATCTATTCTTTCTGATAGTAATACATCAAGAAATGACTGACTTCCGTCTTTCTGTGTTTTGCTGGTCATCTTGATTCGTAGGTGGGTGGCATCGAATGTGTAAAGAAGGATGTCATCGAAAAGATAAGAATTTGAGCGAATATATATTTTCACTGAGGCTTCATCAGACGTTACCAATAAACATACACCAATACACATATGTATTTTCACGAGATTTGGAATAGTGAATTGATTAGTAAGTGTCAGGATGGATCTACAAAACGATCTATCTACAGAAAACCTACATGGACAGAAAAATACTTCAATCAGCATAGCTTTTGTTCATTTCCGTACAGACGAGAGTTAATTAGGTGCTTATTCAGCTGAATCCAGCCTGTATACACAGATGATGCTTCGAAAGACGAAAGAGGAACACTGACTAAATTGCTGTTGGAAAATAAGTATCCATCAAGATTTATTAGGTAGTACAAAATAACTACAGCGCCAAAACCAGCTCTTCACTTTGTCCCAAAGAAAGATGCCTTTATCAGTCTTCCCTACAAAGGTGACTCTCATAGTGCAATCCTTAGGTAGAGACTTAACGCTACTATTAGAAGGATTTATTATACAACCGGATTTCGATTAGTGAAACCATCAAGCCTGAATATTCTCCCAAAACCCCACAGCATATGAACGACATTGTCACATCCCATTGCATCTACCTATTCAAATGTACGTGTGGTGACATATACATAGGAAAGAATCATCGATCCTTGAAAGCAAAAGCCTCGAAACATATTCCAAGGTGGCTTCAGAAGAAAATAAAATTATCTGAATCCATAAACGTTGGTAACAGACGTCCAAGTTCTTTGATCGCGAAGCGCATCGTTGAGACTGGTCACGGGGCGTGGCCACTTCCTTTACACCTATTTACAAAATTTGTTGTGGAAGGGCCCCTAAATTTGTTGAGGCCTCAGCTATTAGGAAGTTTAAACCATCTTTATGTGTTCAAATACAATTTGTTATCATATTAAATCTCAATTAATGAATTCAACTATGAAAACCAAGTTCGATGTAATAATATTCTCGCTCTATTGACTTTCACTATTATTGGGTGTTTACTCCAGCCTTCCACTCGACCTCTTTCATTTTCTCATCCCTTTTGTTCATGAATTTTCATAGAAATACCTTTGACAGGTAAGCGTGTGTTCAGACAATTTACTTCTTACTGTTTTGCCGAGATAAATTGGCTGTTTAGTTTATACTACTTTTAAATATTTAAGTAGCATAAAAGCGTAACTAAAAATACGTCAGACATCTCTACCTCATCAGTTCATCCAACTAATGCTGATCTGTAGTAGTACTAATGAGAAAAATAAACTCTTACACTTATCTGATTTTAAAGCAAAATTATTTACTTAATAAAGCATATATCCTACCATTGTACAAACGAATAATGTTTTGTTTTGATCTTGGCGACTAGCAGAGGAATCCAAGGCGCACGTTTTGTCATATTTGGGACTCGATGGCTGGATGTACCTGCACCTCAATGAGTGATGTTGTTCCCACTGATACTCGAGCCCAATGCCCACTACTCCAAATGTCAAAGCGTTTTCCAACAAGCCATTGAGGCACGATAGTCTTATTGATTCATTTAATTTAGAAATATCAATTAATGTGTTGATGCTTGTAACATCCTGTCGCTGATTGGAATGAATTGAACGGTCGCTATTGGCATATGGGCTCTTGAACAGATGCCTCGGTATTACCTGTATTTTCCTGTTTCGATATTAATAATGAGTTTCCAGTAGGACGAAACTTACGTCCTAGATTCCACTGTTAGCCCATGTTCGTCATTAATATCAATATCAATTGTTGACTGAAGTGAAACTAAGCTGCGGTAAGTAATCTTAGATCAGTCGGTAGACCATCCAGCCAGTAACCAGGAGCTTGCTGGTTCGAATCCTGCGACGGTAAAGATCCTCATTTCACCTACAATCATCATACAGTGTCAATTATATCCACTGGCATGGATGCAGAGACATAATTTTACACGGGTTGTTCATCACAGGGTTCGATTTCTGGTGGGGTCATGGATCCGCACCACTGAAAAGTCCTATATTACAACGAAACAGGTGTCCAGTGGTTCTAAGTTTTCAGTCTTTGTACAACTGGTATCAGTCTATTTTGTATACAAACCTGAAATGTATATCTATCTAATCCATAGAGCTTAACACTGATCGCTTTATGTACATCAAGTTTTGTAATGTGGCCACTAAGCGAATTGATGTGACACTACAGAACACTATGCTTTGATGCTAGACGGTGGGAATCAACCGAAAGAAAGCCATGGTTAATTTAGGTTTTGTACTTGTTATAATTCACCAGTTAACCATACTTTAACCATGAAGACTGCGATTAGTGCTACACAGTAACGACTAGACAACTACATTGGTGACTAATTTATGGAAACCATTCAGCCTTACAACGCATCAGTCGTTGTCTAAATAGCGTAGTCTTCAAGTCCCTTAATTCAGTGCGTAGTGACACTGACTGACTGACTGACTGACTGACTGACTGACTGACTGACTGACTGACTGACTGACTGACTGACTGACTGACTGACTGACTGACTGACTGACTGACTGACTGACTGACTGACTGACTGACTGACTGACTGACTGACTGACTGACTGACTGACAAAATCGATATAGAAACTTGCACAAAGGTACATCACCTCAAGTTGTCAAACTTCACAAAAGCACACAAGGAACAAATGGGTTGAAAAATATTGATATCAAAGCAAATAAAGTAGTATAAGAGAATAAACAGTCTGAAAATTACGGACAGTGTGAATATTCTTGTTAAAGCATGAATGTCAAGGAGTGAATATATCTGCACCATGTCACCAAGAGTTGTCAACCACTGATTCATTTCGTCTTGGGGACCCCAACTAGGCAGTTTGCATCGTTTCACACGACTCATACCAACAGTCAAGGACTTTATTGACTCATACGAGGTCATGGTCTGGCCACCCTCAGTCTTTTTCCAATCTAGTCCAACTTCACCAAGCATACCACATCGAGGTAGGTGGTGGCTCATGCTGACAAGCACAACATAAGTCGGAGCCATCTCAGTCGACTAACGTTCACAGTCTCATCAATCAACTTACCTTTCTTGACTATTACCCTTCATCTAACTTCAACACTGTTCACACGGTGATTCCACGAAATGCGAGCAGTGCTGCGAAGACATCTATGACTCAAGCCCTGTAATAGCTTCATGTCTTCTGTTTAAGGCTATGTCTCACAGCAGTATAGCAGGATAGAATGAACTGCAGCGCAGTGACTGACACAGGTTTGAATCGCCGCATATTCGTTCACATTCTGATCTCTCTCAACATACAAATTACTTGGTCCGTATCACTACTTCTCAAAGTTAACCAACTTCCCATGCTCTTCCTTGGTAATTCTGTTTCTCATTTTGACTATCTGAGATAACCGTGGTTTAGCAGAGTAGTAATGATACTGAGTGGTGATTGAAAGTGAAACGAACATTTGGACCGCAGTCGGATTCGAACCAACAACCACCTGATTTTTGGCCCTACGCTGTATCAACTGAGCTACGAGGTCCGACTGTTGAGCAGTTTGGGATGGGAAGTTCTGACTGGTGAGTAGCCGGTATGAATGCAATCAAGTGGTAGTAACGCATCACGAACTTACTTGGTAATCGAGCAAAACTCTTGGTGATTGATGAAGTGAAATAAAAACCTGGTCAACAGTCGGACCTCGTCGCTCAATTGACAGGGAATCGGACCAGAGGCCCAGTGGTCGCTGGTTTGAATCCAGATGCGGTCACAATTTTCATTTTATCTTCAATCATCACGCAGTATAAATTCTGCTTTTACTGAGTTGTTTTATCAGGGTAAAACTGACACATGATGTTTCGTTAACTTCAAGAAAGCTCGAAAATTAGTGTCAGTGTTCCTTAAGTAGTAAGTAGCTTTAATCATTAACTGACGTCAGTCGGAAAACCATTGAAAACTTCGGTGCACTGGACAGCTCTTTCACTCTAGGTTGTAATTACTCGAGAGTAGTGCGAAATCAATAAATACCATCAAATCGGCTCACTTAGCCTGTCAGTAAATTAAGGATGGAAAATGGCTACCAAGCAAGTCTAGGCCATTTATTTCATCCTACTTGAGGCTCGTCAGTTGGATGTATCTGTGTTCTAGTTAATAGTAGCGTTCACTCTAAGACTCGTACCTCATGCCCATTGGTTTAAACAGCGGTGGATTATCCACTAGGCTAATAATTCGTGATAACCACCCGTTACACAACATGTATAGTTTGACATTGGGACTTGTCATTCCCCTTTTTTGATTGGCTGGGAGATAGTTGATTGATCAACCTCTATTGACATGTCAGCCAGTCATCAACACTTTCCACATATTTACATATATCTTCTTGAAAATATATTGTATCCGTTGAATTTCATTTGCTGAATTTCTTTCCCTTCTTATTTTTCAACTAGTTGACACAATCCTGTGTCCAAAAAACTCATCAGCTGTTGACCTATTAATCCAATATAAAAATGTCCTTAAAGATATAAAACTCTGGTGTGATAATGTGATACGTATTGGTTTCTTAGAACTTCATGAAGCTCAGTTAAGTGAAATGGATCAACTGATCAATAATCATGGAATTAATTCTTTCCTGGTAAGTGAATTCATTATCTTATAGGCTGCTATATACCCCTTATTTTGTATAAATTTTCCCTGATGTTTTGCCCCTAAAATAAGTTATCAGTGCTGTTTTCACAACCTTAATACTTTTTCTCCCCTCAAGACTAAATTCACATTGGCTGTTAACTGCATGTTGATTTAGCGTTATCAATGTCATTTAGAAATGTATGTATTCAGCATCCCTGCTGAGACAGTAAAAACACTGTGTCAACGGTCCGCCTTCTCTTCATGTCTTTGCATGTCAGTGGTATTGTTGTGGTGGTGGTAGTAGGCTGCTAGGCTCGAGTCCTTCACAAACTGTTAGGTCGTAATGCCCGTCATAGCGTAGATTTTGCTTACTACAGAATTACCTACGTTATATCTCTCTTTTCACTTAGATCACTTGTAGGTATTGAGGAACGAATAAGCAAATGAAATGCACTCAGCCAACTTTTACACATTCGTGCACTAGAAGGCAGTAAGCTACACCTGTTGTGCATGAAGGCTAGCGTGACTACTACATGGTTGTCTAAACTTCGGTAGGCGGAGCGGAGTTCAAACCCATGACCCTAAACCACTAGTCCACAGCTCCTCCTATAGTCAGTAGAACTGCCTATCATCAGTTGTAAAAAACAAGAGAGTTAACACTCGTTTTAATTTCTACAGCAACCTCATCAATACGACAGGTGTCATAACACCGAAACAGTTTGCACACGTCTTATTTACGCCTGGGGAGGCTAGCAATCTGATATTGAGAATGATTTAGTTTGGGACCATCTAAGAGAGACCATTGGTTAATTTCAAAGGAGAAACGACTTAATTGCGAGTAATCTGTGTGAGTTAACTGACACAGAAACTATCAGATTATCAACCTACCTAATGAAATTAGTTTCAACAGAATGAGAGTTAAGAAATGCAAAAAAAAGAGAAAAGAGAAAGAATAGCACCTTGACGTACACCAGTTTCAGTAAGCGGTGAAGTGGAGCTCTTCCCTTTAAAGACAGTACGCTATTCGCTTCCAGAAAAAGTAAGAATGCAGTTAGTTTATAACCTTTATCTCAACACGAATATTGAAGGCTTATTTTAACAAAATGGTCTAGGAACAGAGTTAAAGTAAGGTACAATGAACATATTTAGCACTTCTATCTAGACTAGAAACAATAGTATGATGTAAGATAGTGACAGCATCTAAACAGCCGATTAAAAATATCTCTAAGTTATACTCATGTTAAGGATAATGGGGTAACGGTGAAGAAAACGTTCTTTTCGACAATTTCATTTTCAGAAAGTGTACATCTGTATTTATATTCAAAAACAAGATATTCAGGAAGAGGATGAGTCTTTTCAACGAATTTATTGTCAATCTGTACATTCATATACATAAATCTAACTTGAAAAAAATCACAAAAGGAATGGAGTACACCAAGACCAAAATAAGTTAAGACTAAGGTACAGACACAAAGATCAAGCTTCAGTTCATGGATAGCTAAGGCCTTTTGGGTTTTTAGAAGTTGAAGACGTAGAAAACGTGAATTATTTGAGAGAATTCGATAGACAAACTTGAAATCATTCATTGTTTGACTCCTCTGAATGGTTCGGATCGATTACATGCTCAATGATAGAACTTCTGATGCATTTCTTTTCACCCTTATAAAACCAAACGGGAAAATGTTCCTTTGTACGTGTTGACAACAATCTCTGACTATGGCTGATGTACCTCGCTCCACAAGAGCAGGTGAACTGGTAGATACATATGGATGTGGCCGGTCAAGAGATATTATATTTAACACAAACGGTGAACAATTTACGAGTTGTAAAGAGCAAATGAAGTTTGCTGAGAAAAAACATCTTATTTATCTGGAAAGATTATTTTTCAGGATGTCTGATGATGCATCACCTTCAAATTCCAGATTCATGGGCAAAGTCATTTTAGAAACTGAACTTATGACTGGTTTCGCATATTTTTATCAATAAATCGGTTAGGACAACCGTTTTTCAAAAGCTTTCTTCTCAGTAAGTCAAATTTAACTTGCACACAGTCTGTACTACAAATATTATGTATCTAATAGTAGAGTGAGTCAATGAAGTTTCTTTTCCTCATGATCTGCACCCAACTGTAGAAATTAGTATGCTGTTAATTCCACATGGGTTCCCTCTAGAGGGATCCCTACAGAGTTCCATTGCTATCTCGTAATTATCACTTTGAGGAAAAGAATAGGTGAATCCGATTTCGTCTCTATAGTGAATTCCAACTCTCAGTGTCAGTTGCTGAACTCATGTAGGATGTCATTCAGATAGATACTTGAATAACAAATAACGAATATATCATTCAGGCGTCTCTTATAGTCATTATTATTATATTTCCCTTGGCTTCCTAGTGGAAAATACCGTTTCACTAGCACGCCTCCATTACACTCTCTTATCTACACTATTCTGAAACTCACTACAACAATCACCACTACCTTTCATCCCTTCCTCACATCATCTCCTCCATGTCACCCTCGACTCACACAACCAACTCCTCGTTTCCCATTTGGATTCCACTCAACGGTCTGGCCTGGCCAGTGTATGACAAATCCATCTCCACTTTCCACTTCTGCATACACGTTGGGTGATAGGTTGTTGGTTGGTTCGTCGCCAGCCAGCCAGCCAGCCAGCCAGCCAGCCAGCCAGCCAGCCAGCCAGCCAGCCAGCCAGCCAGCCAGCCAGCCAGCCAGCCAGCCAGCCAGCCAGCAACAGTTCCTTGTTACTTATTCTCATTATTCTATTCTACCCATCTCATCTCATCTCATCTCATCTCATCTGATCCTCTGTGGCAGTATCGAGTGAGTCTAGGTGTAGACGGCAGCTATTCATCATGCATGTATGTACTTTGTTGGAAATGCTTTCCGTGACACGCCAAGTTTCTCAACCATATAGCACCACTGAATTCACTTGATTGGTGTTGAAAATGTGGATGTTGTTCACGCTTTATGCTGAGTGCAGTAGATCTCCATAGTGATTATTTCAGATTGATGAAGGAAGGTGTGTGTTGCTGTCTTTCTGATCTTTGTTTTAACATTGTTATCTGTGCCGCTTGTATGTGAGACGATGCTGCCTAGATAAGTGAAAGAGACTACTTCGTTAAGAGATCTCCTGTTGCTGGTGATTGGTGCTTGTTGTTGATGCTGCTGCTGGTTGGGTATCTTCGTCACCTTTGTCTTCTCTACATTCACTTGAAGGTACCTCTTATAGGTGTAGAAATTATTATTAGTTTTAATATTATTGGAATTTTCCAAGTTGAACATAAAGCAGTCTGCCATCAGAGGTCCCAATAGGGATTCCACCTCAGTCACATCATTAATCCGGTAATACCTGATTACCAAAACTAAATTCCAGGTTAAAAATACATCTCATCAAGAGCTTTCTCAAGTAGTTTGTTGAAATTCCTACTTCTATATTATATGAATCGATGAAATAATATATGTAAAAAAACAGTTTTAGTTGGTAACACATCTAAATAAAGCATCAGTTTGCCTATGCTGTCAACATCCCTAATGCTATTAATGAACTGAAATATATCACGAGTAGAATAACGAGACACTTGCCTTCTGACTGGTTCCAGTATTCCAGCTAACCATTGGGCAACATTATTATTATAACTACCATTACTGTGATTTCAACCTCCAGTTACTTAAGTTAAAACTTCCTCACCGATTACAGTTTTTAAATATCAGATATACGAATATGTAGCTTGAGAATAAATTCGTTAAAAAGACTCATCCTCTTCTCTGAATATCTTGTTTTCTATGTCACAGTGGAAATTGGGAATGTATTCTTAATCAAACAAACGAATTAAAACCGCCTAGATAGTAGTTCAAAATGGTTGTGCAATACGAAGTACAACGTGGAACAGGAAAGGAAGGTGTAGAAACCGACACCAGGAAAAGATATTCGGTAATACAAATGAAAACGAGTCAGTTAACTTAAAAGTACAAAAAACATAACGGGAAATACGGTAAAAGAGCTTTCTTCGCTGTTACATCTTTCATCAGCGATCGCTAACATAAGAATGAAACATAAGCGATAAACTGCACCAACATATTTCTAAATTGCTCAGAAGTCCATAATTTTGAATTATGCATGAATGAAAGATAGATGCCTGCCAAAAGACGCCACTACTAAACGAAACCACTGACGTTGATCTACAGTATTTCACCAGCTATACCAGAGTGATCTATACACCAGACGACCGTTTAAATCCTTTGGTACCGAGCTCATCAGCCGCCGTCCCGTACAAATTCAGCTCATACACCCGAATTACTTCAGATCACTTGAATCTGGCTGACTAGCTGACTCGCATGGACCGGTATGCCTAAAATAGGATGATCAATATACACATAGACGCCTACTGAATAAACGACAATAATGCTGATCCTTAGCCGGCATGCTGAACTTCACCGGCTGACGTTTCTATCATAATCTCCTCCAGATATAACATACCTAAGCATTAAACGGGTTACAGTTTCGATTGCATTTAGCTAAATCTTACCGTAAATCATATTTAGTGCTATGACTGGTAGTACAACCTAGCAGGTTACAAGGGATTCGAGCCTAGCAGTCTACGATGGATACGAATCTAAAGCGCTAACGAATCGACTCCAACGCAAATCAGAACATCAGCCACCCCAACAACAACAACGATACCACTGACATGCAAAGACACAAAGAGAAGGCAGACCGTTGACACAGGGCTGAATAAATACATATTTCTAAATGACCTTGATGATGCTAAATCCACATATATTTAACAACCAATGAGAATTCAGTCTTGAGAGGAGAGGGGAGAAAAAGTATTAAGGGTGTGAAAACAGCATTGATAAGTTATTTTAGGGTTATGGACAGACAGCAGCCAAGATTTATGCGAAATTAGTGGTATATAGCATTAAGAAGCAAGGAAAAATCTAATGAATGCTATTTGAGCTTGAACGTTTGCGGTTACTGATTAATTCAAGGTAGGGCACCTCACAGACTGACACAAGTTTAGGAATCATTGGGACCTAGGGGTGGCGGACAGCTGAAAAATCCTTTTCTGGGACCCCTAAACAGTGCACGCCCATGAACTCATCAGGGATCGAACTTAGAGCCTTCATATCTTGTGGCGAGCAAGTTACCATCTAGTCACTGCTTCGGAATTCTATGGTTCACACTTTCTACTTTTGCCAAGTCGTGATATAGCGCAACTAGTATTCAATATGATGACTTCTCATTAGGACTTCGAGAAATCTCATGTCGAAATATTTCATTAATAAGCAGTGGAAAAATCAACCTGAAATTTGGTTGTTCTTACCTTTAAGAATTAAAGTGTTTCGATCCTCTGGAAGTGTTCATCCTGAACTGAAATATGATTCTCATGCACTATTCTCACTTCATTTGAATACCTGACCGGATTTCTAGAGATTTGGACAAATAATCTCCTTTAGTTAACTCAACATGAGCACTTCAGTGTTGAATTCGGTTTGTAATAAATCAAACATGAGTATTTTGTTGATAATATAATAATCCTGATTTTCAATCGTTAATGTCAGCGGCTGTTGTCATCTGAATGAATAGTTATTAAGACTTTAGTTAGATTTGTAGTCTTCTGAATGGTTAGTAGGGGAATCAAGGATGCGCATTTCGTCGTATTTGGAACTCATCAGCTGGTTATACCTGTACCTTAGTGAGTGATAGTCTTCTTATTCAGACTGAACTCAAGTATCTATCACTTCACATTGAGAGGATTCAGAAGTCAATTAAATATTGCCTCATGGTAACTAAACTTTCATACATTGCTTGAATAAATAAATTTATAACGTAATCTCTTCCAACATGGTATGGAGCTGAATCTGTAGGATGACTGGATATTCAGACTGTCAATGACTCCCTGGGTAAAAAGAAATAGGTCTTCACTGCCATCTAGTTTTCTCAGATTTTTGACCAAGAAATCTAGTTCCTTTTTTGAAGAAAGTGTATTATTATTACTTATGGTTTTAATATACTACTGACTAAAAACCTTGGAGTATACCAAATAGGTTACTTGGGACAGCTGGTTTAGGTGATTGACTGACAAACTGATAAAATTAACATAGAACATCGAATACAAGTACATTTTACCGAGAGTCCTCAGTAACACCAACTAGGCAGTCTACACCTCTTCAAATAGTCACAGACTTCATTGACTGGTTCCATGTCTTAGTCTGATCACACTTAACACCTCTTCCAACCTACCCCAACTTCTATAAGCATGTTGAAGTAGGTGGTGACTTGCGGTGACAATGTTCAGTGTATACACAAGCCATCTGAATCGACTAGGCTTCAGAACCTCATCAATCAACTTGTCTGTCTTGCCTAGTACCTATAAAAGCTCATAACTTTTTGAATTGTCCGCCGAAACAATTAGTCTAGCATAACAATGAAAGCTTCACATATGAGCACTTTATGTATTAAAAGAAAACAACAATAAAAATAAAAAAGAATAGGTGTAATTTTAATATCTTCCAATCCTTTTCAATCTTTTTTTTAAAATAAAAAATAACGTTTTGACAACAATCTAGATACTTTCATCAGCAAAACAATGAAGGAGTAGGATAAATAGTATAAAACTAGTAAACAGTAAATATGATATGATATTATAAAATATGCTGAATTCAGTCTCTTTGAATTTATTTTCTCTTTTCCTTTTTTTTGTTGTTTAAATGATTTGTTGTATGCGCGCTTATTTTCAACTCAAACCTACAAATGGGATGTATAAATATACAAATATAGTTCTTTGTTGATCCAACTGAAATGAATAACAAATCCAAAGATTCTCCGCTAGTTACAAACTTATTAATGGCTTTAGAAAAGTGCAGAAAATTTGGTTCAATTGCATTCATCAAACTGTATGTTACAAATTTAAATGTGAATGACTTACACAATCAAGCAGATAGAAGAGATGATGTAAGTTAGAACAAATTTCATCAAAGATTTTTTTTTTAATTAGTTGTTTCTTGGGTTTTTAGTGGAACATATAAATTTAATAGCATATTGCCATCGCACTGTGTTTTCAAGCAGTCTTCTTAACCTAGCTGCATGACTCCCCAAAAGCTTTTATTTCTTCCTCACACGATTTCCTTCATGTCACCCTCCCGTCGAATGCCCAGCCTGTCATTTCTCCTTTAGCTACCACTTGAGTGCCAGGTGCTTGATGTCCCCAAATGGTCTCCTCAGTGTATGTCCAGTCTAATCCATGTCCACTTTCTTGTGCATATTTGTTGGACGATAGGTTGTTGGTTGGTTCGTTGCCAGGCCAGAGTGAGTTCTTTGTTGCTTATTCACATTATTCTGGCCATCTGGTCTCCATCTTCAGTATCGAGTGAGGGTAGGCAGCAGCTGTCCATGATGTATGTCTGCAGTTTGTTGAAAATGCTTTTCATAACGCGCCAAGTCTCTCAACCATCACATAGAAGCACTGACTTGACTAAGATTAGTGTTGAAAATCCGGATGTTGCTCACGCTTTATGGTGAGCGCAGCGCAGCGCAATGCAGTGCAGTAGGTCTCCACACTGATTTCAGATGAATAATGGAAGGCTTGTCTTGCTGCCTTTCTGATGCTGGCCTTGACATCGTCATCTGTGTCGCCTCCTGCACTTGAATCGATTCTGCCTAGGTAGATAGGTAGTTGAAAGGGACAACTTTCTTTAGATTTCTCCCGTTGATAGTGATTGGTCCTTGTTGTTGTTGGTGGTGGTTGGGTTAGGTTAAGTTGAGTATCTTCATCACTTCTGTCTTCTCGACGTTCACCTGAAGGAAGTTCCGTCTTCGTTCGCTGCCTCGCCTCTTTTACCAACTTGTTGGTTTTGCCTTTAGATCTTCGAGTTTGTGTGACAAGACATTAGACATAAATCATCATCGTTGGCGAAATCCAAAATTTCTAGGGTCTTTTCACCGGTCCAGCCAGCGTATACCCATCTTCTCGCTCCTCACAGTTGCTTGTTGTATGATCCAGTCAAGTGGAGTCGACCACAATCAAGAAGATCATCTGTGATATCAGGCAACCTTGTCTTACTCCTGTCCTCATTTCAAGGGCATCCCTGAGCTTTCAACTATGAATCACTTGGCATGTAGCATCATCACAAGTTCACTGGTTTACTAGCAGGTCCTAAGCCTGGAAAAAGAAGGAAGTTTGGTCGTGGAGCTAGTGACCGTACCCCGGAAAATCAATCTAATCATTCAAGGAACTTCAACTACAGTGAAAAATTATATTTACTATTATGTGTAAATTTGAAATTCACCTTGAATATTCGTCTTCAAATGATGAGTGCTTGGAAGTAATTGACTTTTTTTGTCTCTCGTGCTTCACTAGCCCAGTGGATAACACCTTAGCAATTGAAGCCAGTAGTCAACGGGTTCGATTTTCATCCGGGTGCAGATACATCTAGCTTACGAGTGCCAATAAGGGCGAAACGTCTGCCTTTGATTCCATTGGTAGCCACCACTAAGCAAATTACATCGTAACTGAGCGGGAGAGAAAGTTGTGGACCTGGGTTTTGTACTTGTGTAGACTCATCAGTAGTAAGTATTTGCCTTGTAAGAAAAACTGAAGCGCATTGGACATTTAGAACTACGCTAACCGGCAATGAAATTATTTATTTTATCCCTGTTTCATTTGTGCACAAATCTACATTTCTCAGAAATGCATGGATAAAACGCTGGTAAAATGTAACGTTAACTAGAGAAAACCTTCCCTTTGTTTATGAATCTCCATGCATAGTACTGATATCATTTGCGCCAAAACCATCGAGTTATAAGTCGAAGTTGTTTGTGTACTGGTGATGGTTAGCATGATTGTAGTAAAAAAAAGAAGTGAATTCTTTAGACGAAAACCATTTGAAACAATTTCATCCACCCTGACTGGACATAACGCTCATGCTGAAGATTTCCATTGATAACAAAGGATTACGGTAGATAATGAATAGAAATATTTAGGATCTAAATGCATAATTACTTTTCAGTATTGATAAAACAATTTAAAGTTTTCCAAGATTTTCGGCTTCGATACTGTTATGGGAATGACAAGCGAAATTGAAAGAAATTCTCAGCTATAACTGGACTTAAACCAAGAAGTGAAGATTTACAGTCTCTATGTTTCCTCCTAACGACTTCAGAACTACTATCTCTCTAGTGATTGTATACTTGAACCAATTACTCACAACAGAAAAATATTTACTTCGAATTCCGCTACATTGACTTTGATGCTAGAGACAAGTGTATGGAAATATAGTGAACCTCATGAATTCGTCTTTTTAGCAAGTTGAAAGAGTGTATTATTCATACCTAGAGATGAGCTACTCAACATCGACATCAAGAGGTCATAGTTTGGCTTTTACAAAAGTATCAGTCAAGAACTTTATCCTCCAACAGATTGTAGACAGATGGTTCTAGAGTATCCAGCTGGAATGAAATACGAAGTAAAACATAGTCAAAGTCCCAAATAGGACGAAACATGCATTCTGGATTCCACTGCTAGCCACTATCCATCATAATATATAACCAAAACAGAAGTAATATCGAGGCATCCACGAAGGAGCTCATATGCCAAAAGAGACCAATCAGTTAGGTTCAATAATCGACGAGACAATACCAGCAAAAACATTAAAACAATACCTGTCATACAAGAACTGTCAATTTTGATTCGGTGGTCTAGTGGATAGCGCTCTGGCGTTTGAAGCTCTTGGTCCCGAGTTCGAGTCCCGGTGGGCTCAACTTCACTCACTGGGAGAGACAAGCACGTGCGGCTGACGAGTCCGAGACAGGACGAAATGTGCGTCAGTCTGGATTCCATTGCTAGCCACTATCCATCATTAGTAAAACAAAATCTTTTACAATCTTAGTTATTCGATTCATGATGTTTAGATTTTCTGACGAAATGGTTCACAACCAAAAAAATAATCTACATGATAAAAGAGCGAAAAAGAAGACACAATACAGAGAAAATCCTACTTTACAGACAATGAACATTTTGTATTTTAAATAAAAAGTAAAAATGCAAAATAATTCTCTTTCACCTATCTAGGCAGCATCATCTCACCTACAAGCGGCACAGATAACAATGTCAAAACAAAGATCAGAAAGACAGCAACACACACCTTCCTTCATCAATCTGAAATAATCACTATGAAGATCTACTGCACTCAGCATAAAGCGTGAACAACATCCACATTTTCAACACCAATCAAGTGAAGTCAGTGGTGTTATATGGTTGAGAAACTTGGCGTGTCACGGAAAGCATTTCCAACAAAGTACATACATGCATGATGAATAGCTGCCGTCTACACCTAGACTCACTCGATACTGCCACTGAGGATCAGATGAGATGAGATGAGATGAGATGGGTAGAATAGAATAATGAGAATAAGTAACAAGGAACTGTGGCTGGCTGTCTGTCTGGCTGTCTGTCTGGCTGTCTGTCTGGCTGTCTGGCTGGCTGGCTGGCTGGCTGGCTGGCTGGCTGGCTGGCTGGCTTGCTGGCTGGCTGGCTGGCTGGCTGGCTGGCTGGCTGGCTGGCTGGCTGGCTGGCTGGCTGGCTGGCTGGCTGGCTGGCTGGCTGGCTGGCTGGCTGGCTGGCTGGCTGGCTGGCTGGCTGGCTGGCTGGCTGGCTGGCTGGCTGGCTGGCTGGCTGGCTGGCTGGCTGGCTGGCTGGCTGGCTGGCTGGCTGGCTGGCTGGCTGGCTGGCTGGCTGGCTGGCTGGCTGGCTGGCTGGCTGGCTGGCTGGCTGGCTGGCTGGCTGGCTGGCTGGCTGGCTGGCTGGCTGGCTGGCTGGCTGGCTGGCGACAAACCAACCAACAACCTATCACCCAACGTGTATGCAGAAGTGGAAAGTGGAGATGGATTTGGCATACACTGAGAAGGCCTATTGGGGACATCATGCACCAGGCCATACCAGGCCAGGCCAGGCCAGGTCAGGTCAGGCCAGACCGTTGTGTGGAATCCATATGGGAAACGAGGAGTTGGTTGTGTGAGTCGAGGGTGACATGGAGGAGATGATGTGATGAAGAGATGAAGGGTAGTGGGTATTGTTGTAGTGAGTTTCAGAAGATACTGTAGATAAGAGAGTGTAATGGAGTGCAAAGTTGTGCTAGTGAAACGGTATGTTCCACTAGGAGCCCAAAGGAAAAATAATAATAATAATAATCTGAAAATGAAACGTTTTCTCATAAAATTTTCTTCACTTTGTCAGAAACAGTTTCTGTGGAGATGTGGAGAAATATGTGTAAACACCTGATTAAATGACTGATAAAATCATCACATAGAACCTCGCACACAAGTGCATCACCTCAAGTTACCACATTTCACAGAAGTATACAAAAAACAGGTGGGTAGATGAAGACTGAATTCAAAGTACATAAAGTTGTGTGAGAGAATAAACAATCTGAACATAACGGTTAGTGTGAATATTCAAGGAGTGAATATATCTAAGCTACCATGACCGATTTCCAGCCATGTCACCAACAGTCCTCAAACACTGATTCCTATTGTTGTGGGAACGGAAACCAGGTAGTCTACCCGTCTCCTCACAGTCAGTGAGTTAATTGACTGATTCCATATCTTGATCTGAATACATTCAACCCTTTCCCAACCCGATCCAACTTCAACAACATGTCACCTCAGGTTTAGTGGTAGCTCGTAGTGAGGTGCGCTGTACATGCCCGAACCATTTTATTTGACTAACGTTCACACCCTCATTAATCTACTTGTCCGCCATGACTACCACTTTTCTCCTGACTTCAACATTGCTCAAACTGTGATTAGATGCAAAAAGAACATTGGAATCACAGAACGAACTGCAGTGCAGCATACTCGTCCTTTGACAGATAGTTGGAAATCTCACCGATCGCACATGTAGGGTAAGCTGGAAAATGTTATACAGGCTTTCTGTATCCTAGGTGAGATTTCATCAGTAAAAAACCGTTTGGGTTGATGCAATTCTGACTTCACTGACTTACAACGTCCTCAATTGGTAGAGCATCGAGTTGGAAACGTAGTGGTGGCTGGTTCGAATCCGGCCACGGTCCAAATTTTCATCTCACATTCAATCATATTTGTCTCAACGAAGTTTGTTAAGTAAAATATCTCATATTGAAACCTAATTTGTCCCCCTGTCAAAAGTTACTAGTATAATGTTTTTTGCCATTTGCGGAACCTCAAATTTTTGTCTACTTAATGGGTGTAACACTGAAATCCACAACTGGCGTTTAGTTGTATTTAAGACTGGTCATCGACTCCAATGCTACCATAAAGAGTAATCAAACGACATGAAAGCATCAGTATACAAGCCTTTTTAACAACAGAGGTCAGATAATTTGACCCAATGTAGAGATAGGAGACTATAAATAGTAAGCAACTGTTGGAAATTGATGTGTAAAAATGAACTTGACCAAATCCAATACTTGTAACATTATTATATTGTTATTATTTTCCCTTTGGGCTCCTAGTGGAACATACCGTTTCACTAGCACAACTTTGCACTCCATTACACTCTCTTATCTACACTATTCTGAAACTCACTACAACAATACCCACTACCTTTCATCTCTTCATCACATCATCTCCTCCATGTCACCCTCGATTCACACACCCAACTCTTCGTTTCCTATTTGGATTCCACTCAACGGTCTGGCCTGACCTGACCTGGCCTGGCCTGGCCTGGTATGGCCTGGTGCGTGATGTCCCAAATCGGCCTTCTCAGTGTATGCCAAATCCATCTCCACTTTCCACTTCTGCATACACGTTGGGTGATAGGTTGTTGGTTGGTTCGTCGCCAGCTAGCTAGCTAGCTAGCCAGCCAGCCAGCCACAGTTCCTTGTTACTTATTCTCATTATTCTATTCTACCCATCTCATCTCATCTCATCTCATCTGATCCTCAGTGGCAGTATCGAGTGAGTCTAGGTGTAGACGGCAGCTATTCATCATGCATGTATGTACTTTGTTGGAAATGCTTTCCGTGACACGCCAAGTTTCTCAACCATATAACACCACTGACTTCACTTGATTGGTGTTGAAAATGTGGATGTTGTTCACGCTTTATGCTGAGTGCAGTAGATCTTCATAGTGATTATTTCAGATTGATGAAGGAAGGTGTGTGTTGCTGTCTTTCTGATCTTTGTTTTGACATTGTTATCTGTGCCGCTTGTAGGTGAGATGATGCTGCCTAGATAAGTGAAAGAGACTACTTCCTTTAGATTTCTACCGTACTTGTAACATTACCATTGTTTAAAGTAATGACTTCAGCAATACCTTCATACACAAATCTTTTAAAATAAAAAGCTTTATAATATGTTTCATTATTTTGTTTTCCAAAACTTATAACAGCAACTGGAATTGAAATCAATTGAAAAAATTATTTTCCTTTCTAATACAACAAACTGTCCAGTTGTCATTACTTCTTCAAATGATTTGAATATAATAACTAAAATAGGTGAAGCAAGACGTCAAATTCCACCAGTACATATTTCTGCTTGTTGTACACCTGATACATTGTTACCAGTAGCAATAAATGGTCAAGTAAGTTGAATATTATTTGTTAGAAGATTTTAATTCAATCCAATATGATTCTTAGACTTTGTAGACATTTAGTATTATATACTTAAAGGATGGTACATAAATAGTCAGTTCTGAGTACTAATCGATTATTATCGATTAATTTTTGCCATGTGATCACTATTACAATGTACTTTGATAAATTTTAGTTAGTTGGATACAGTTGACACAGAGGTTTCACCCTTGTTGATACTCATCAGTAAAGTGTATCTACAATTCCTTGTGAGATTTGCACTCATGTCACCTAATGTTTCAGTCAGCTATATTATCGTTGAGCTATTCGGGCAACGTTTAATCTGTATTAGTTATATTGATTGATCAGGAGAGAGTAACAAGTCCTTCAGAAGATCACTCACACCTCGACTAGCTCAGTGATAACTTTTCTGATAAAAAAAGACTGCTCAACATAGGGTTTCTAATCTCAGTGAGGGTATCAGTTTCTTCAAGGTTGCAGATACGCGCTACTGATGAGTACGAATAAGCATAAAACTTTAGTCAAGTAAATTTTCGTGTCAATCATCTCCAACCAAGTATGACCCATACTTGTTGATGAATACAGGCAGTCAGTTATTGCAGACTGTATCTATATGAATAATAGTGGTTGAAAAATATCCTTTTCTTATGGACTTTTGAATATTAAGTACAATGGAAAAGCTGGAAAGTCTCACTTGAATAATTGATATTGTACACCAGCATATCTGTAAATCTATTCATGATTATATTTCTGGGATTGTAACTGTGTAGAATATCAGGTCGATTTCCAATTGTTGTTATTTTTGGTATTTTTAAAGGTTATTTTAATGATGGATAGTGGTTAGCAGTGGGACTCGTCAGCTGGATGAAAACCGCATCCTGAATTCCGCTGCTAACCACTATCCATCGTTAATATATAATTGGAACAAAGGTAATATCGAGGCATCCGGACAGCAACCTATATACCAATAGAGACTGATTAATTCGGTCGAATCAACGACGTTATAATACGAGCAATAATACTAATTCTAAAGGTTACTTCTTGGAGAAGAACACCAAACTACACTTATTATTATTATTAGTCCCTTGGGTTCCTAATGGAACATAGGGCTTCAGTAGCACGTCTCCAGTGCACTCTCTTCTCTGAAATCTTTCGAACCTGGCTCCACGACAGCCCACATGCTCTCATTTCCTCCTCGCACGACCTCCTCCATGTCACCCTCACCTCGGACGTCCAACTCGTCGCTTCCCATGGGGATTCCACTCCAGGGCCTGACGCATGATGTCCCCAGTCGGCCTTCTCAGTGCATGGCCAACCCAATCCATCTCCACTTCCTCCTGCATATTTGTTCAGCGATAGCTTCTTGGTTGGTTCGTTCCCAGAGCTCCTTGTTGCTTATTCTTTCTGGCAATCCATCTGATCTTCAGTAGCGAGCGTAAGCAGTTGTTGATGAATGTCTGTAGTTTATTGGAAATGCCTTTCGTGACGCACCAAGTCTCTGAACCATACAGGAGCACTGACTTGACGTTGGTGTTGAAAATCCGTATCTTGTTCCACATGCTGAGTGCAGAAGATCTCCACACTGGTTTCAGGCTAATGAACGCCTGTCTTGCTTTTCCGATTCTCACTTTGACATCCTCGTCTGTGCCACAACCGCCGCCTGTAGTTGAAACAGTGCTTCCTAGATAGGTGAAGGAGGTTACTTCCTTTAAGTTTCTCCCGTTGATGGTGATTGGAGTTTGTTGTTGTTGTTGGTGGTGCGTTATCTTCATCACTTCTGTCTTCTCTATATTCACCTGAAGTCCCGTCTTAGCTGCCTCTTCTATCAACTTGTTAGTTTTTGCCTGCAGATCTTCAAGTTTGTGTGACATTAGGCACAAGTCATCGGCGAAATCCAGATCTTCTAGGTTCTTTTCCGCAGTCCAGCCAGCGTATCCCCCTCTTCTCACAGCTCCCCACTGTTTGCTGCATGATCCAGTCCATCACAATCAGGAATATCATTAGGGATAGTAGGCAACCTTGTTTCACTCCTGTCAAAACTATACTTGAACCTACCAAATTCGCTATTCTCTTCGTGTCTTGTAAATGCATGAACAGTGGAAAATGTAGCAGTAATCGGATGACCACTTTTATCATTCTTATTTAACTTCATCATAGGCGTACTAATAGGCATAACCCTATGTATGTCTCACTTCACAGAGATTGACTTGCTCCCTGAAGGTCATCACAGTGACTTGGAATATGGAGATGATGTTGTCCTGCTAGGTGAAGACTCTGGCCAAATGCAGAGTCTCCTGAAAGTCTTAGAAAGGGTTTTGCATATGTCAAATGTAAGATCATGCTCCAGGACTGGTCTGCTACAACCGCTCCTAGCTTAATGATAAGTAGTGAGGCGGTGGAATATGTCAACACCTTGCACCAGCCCGAACAGTTCTGTTGCTGATGAAATCTGAGCTCGGCTACAGAAGGCCCGTTTGGCATTTGTCAACCTGCGTCATCTGTGGGACCGGAAAGTACACTGCCCTGCAGTCCGTTCTGTCCTTATGTACGACAATGAGATGTAGTCGTTAAAAAGTAAAGGATATCAATAATTTGGAATTTCTTTAATCTAAAGTGCCTCTGTAGCATCTATTACGTTTGGTGCAGTCACTATTTGAGCAATGTTGAGGTGAGACGAAAGGTACTAGACAAGACAGACAAGTCAATTGATGAGATTCTGAAGCGTAGTAGACCCAGATAGCTTATGCATTTACTTTGCGTGTCACCACAAGCCACGGCCTATCTCGACACGCTTGGAGAAGTTGGATTGGGTTGGAAAAGGGTTGAATGTATTCAGATCAAGATATGGAATCAGTCAATTAACTCACTGACTGTGAGGAGACGGGTAGACTACCTGGTTTCCGTTCCCACAACAATAGGAATCAGTGTTTGAGGACTGTTGGTGACATGGCTGGAAATCGGTCATGGTAGCTTAGATATATTCACTCCTTGAATATTCACACTAACCGTTATGTTCAGATTGTTTATTCTCTCATACAACTTTATGTACTTTGAATTCAGTCTTCTTCTTCCCACCTGTTTTTTGTATACTTCTGTGAAATGTGGTAACTTGAGGTGATTACCCTGGTTGAAACCAGCACATATGGTTAACAATTCATCTATTCGAAACAGAAGAACTCTCACTGAAGCTGGGACTACAGTATCATTTAAATCGACAAAATAGACTCAGAAAGTAGCTTTAGAAATTCAAGGATTCTACTGAACCAGTTAGGCAAAACAATCTTGTCTATCCCTAACCGTTGTAATGATTGTGAAGCAAAAAATATATACGTCAAAATAGGTAACAAAACAGAAGCTTCAATTAAATTTTGAGGGGGTCGTGGAGATTTGGAAATATTTCAAGTTGTTATTCATCGAAGACTGACATCAGTTGGAGGAACAAAGGAAACCTGGGAGCACTGGACAACTGTTTCGTCCTAGTATGGGACTCCTCAGCAGTGCGCACCCACAACCCCACCAGCAGGGGTCGGACCCGCGACCTTCAGGTTCCGCGACCAGCGCTTTACCATTGAGCCACTGGGTCAGAATCCAATGCTCCATATTTCCAACTTCTGTTAGCTCACGATATAGCGCAAACCGCCACCCAATGTCATCGTTGAGTATTTGTCCTCACGGCCATCAGGCTTTGACTCCACCGGTCACGACTTGTCATTGGAACTTCGGGAATACTTCTCGAAGCTAGTCACCAACGAGCACTACTTCAATTAAATTTTGAGGGGGTTGTGGAGATTTGGAAATATTTCAAGTTGTTATTCATCGAAGACTGACATCAGTTGGAGGAACAAAGGAAACCTGCTGAGGAGTCCCATACTAGGACGAAACAGCTGTCCAATGCTCCCAGGTTTCCTTTGTTCCTCCAACTGATGTCAGTCTTCGATGAATAACAACTTGAAAACAGAAGCTATCTGAAGCACAAAAACTTAGCTAAATCAAGATTAATAGATACGAATAAGATACAGAATCTAGAGAAAAGTTTCACTACCGGTATGTATACAATAAGGCACACGGACATAACAGAATAGGACAGAGTGATACCAAATCTTTGTTTATCGAATCAACACCAATTACATGAAGTAGGAGTTATTCAGTATTCAGCCCAAGTATACAGAGAGAATTATAGAAGCTACTCTGATATGTTATAGTAATGATAACAAGCGCCAGATCATTGAACAATTGATTCATTATTTGTTGATACTTGCAGTTCTCCGTTGTTATAATTGATAGAATTGATTGATATCTGTTGGCATATTGGCTCCCATTTGGATGCCTCGATATCATACAAATATTTTTTTTAGAAATGACTTGGTTGTGACTAACAGTGAAATCTAGGAAGAGCGTTTCAATCCATTTACGACTCATCACTTGGATGTATCTGAACTCCAGTGAGTGATTTTGTTCCCCATGGAGACTCGAACTCTGTACTCAACAGACGTGAGACAATTCTATCCATCATAACAACGGAGAATTACATATTATATTTATTTATTATACACTTTTCCCTTGGTTTCCTAGTGGAACATACCGTTTCACTAGCACAACTTTGCACTCCATTACACTCTCTTATCTACAGTATCTTCTGAAACTCACTACAACAATACCCACTACCCTTCATCTCTTCATCACATCATCTCCTCCATGTCACCCTCGACTCACACAACCAACTCCTCGTTTCCCATTTGGATTCCACTCAACGGTCTGGCCTGGCCAGTGTATGCCAAATCCATCTCCACTTTCCACTTCTGCATACACGTTGGGTGATAGGTTGTTGGTTGGTTCATCGCCAGCTAGCTAGCTACCTAGCTAGCTAGCCAGACAGACAGAGTTCCTTGTTACTTATTCTCATTATTCTATTCTACCCATCTGATCTGATCTGATCTGATCTCATCTGATCTCATCTCATGTTCAGTGGCAGTATCGAGTGAGTCTAGGC